CGGGAGCGGCCACTGCATTCCAGTCTGGGTGACAGAGTGAGACTCCAACTCAAAAAATAATAATAATAATTACTCATCTCTTGGAGGTTTTCTTCTGTCTTTTTAAGCTTCTTTTCTGTGTTTTTAACAGTTTGGGTTAGTTCCATATTTTGGTACTCAAGCTACCACACCTGGCTAATTTTTTTTATTTTATTGTAAAGATGAGGTCTCGCCTGCCCAGGTGGGTCTCAAACCTGCAGGCTCAGGCAATCCACTCACCTCAGCCTCCCAAAGGTGCGGGATTACAGGCTGAGCCACCGAGCCCGGCAAGGGATATATTTTTATTAAACAAAGGAAAATAAATCACATACAGTGTCATCCCATTGTAGTTTGAAGGGATCTGTTTACATATGTTCTCATAAACTTTCTTATGCAACTTCCATATGACTTTTCAGTAGTGCTTGAACATAAAATTCATCCAGATACACATATACATATATATATATTAAAAACCATATAGCTTCAAAAGCTGATTAAAGTGAATAAACCCACTTTAATTCTGAAACAGTTTTACAGATTTTTGGCCTCTAGGTGGTGGTATTGTAATCCATTGACAAGTGGATTTTACCTACTTTATACATTTCTTTATTGCTTGAAGCTTTTACAGATATCTAAACATTAAAAAGTAAGAGAAGAAACTAGAAAAAATTTGAAATGAGCAAATTACAGTAAAATCTAGAGAATATTTAAGTAGTTGGAGATAACTTGAATTTTAGCACTGTTTGTAATGGACATTTTTCAAGTGGTGTAAATTCTCTTTTTAATTGTAAATTGCTGGAAAATTTGATTTTGATACCTCATTTTAGGTTATCTACTTTTATGTGTGATATTTAGAATTCACTTTCTTAAAGAAGTCATTGGAATACTATGGGATATATTAAGTAATATTGTTACTATTTTTTTGATTTGTTAATTTAGATTCCCTAAAAGATGTTAAAACTTAAAATATGAAATTTTCATAAATTTTATTTTATTTATTTATTTGTTTTTGAGTTGTTGCCCAGACTGGAGTGCAGTGGCTGCTCCCGGCCACCGCAGCCTCAACCTGCTGGGCTCCAGCAATCCTTCCGTCTTAGCCTTCCAAGTAGCTGGAACTACAGGCATGCGCTACCACACCCGGCTAATTTTTTATTTTTTATTGTAGAGATGAGGTCTCACCAAGTTGCCCAGGCAGGTCTCAAACCCACGGGCTCAGGCAATCCACTCACCTCAGTCTCCCAAGGTGCTGGATTATAGGCTGAGCCACCGAGCCCGGCTGAAATTTTCATAAAGTTTAAAGCCATCAATAAAAATACCAAAATGTTGGAAAAAAAGAAACTTGAATAGTACTTTAAGTTAGGACACGTTACTTCTTTGTTTGAGTATCAAAAATATTTTGTGTATAACCTGGTTTGCTCATAAAGTTGACATACTTGCTATGTACTAAAACTTGGCTGTTTAGAATCCTCAAGGAATGAGTCATTTAGAAGAGCCAAGTTTCTCAAATATCAAGATTGTTCTTCTTAGGTATAAAATTTTTCTAAATTCCAGAGGAAGTGTTCCTAAAATGGATTTTGCATTCTCCTGTCTTCCTCACTTTAGCCAGTAGAAGTGATTTTACCCTTTCTTAATGCATCGACATTCTTCCTGTGAGTTTCAGGGATTGTTCCACTCCTAATGGCAGTGTTTTCAAAACCTGCCAGTGACAGCAAGGAGTATTCTTTACCCTATGTTGAATGGCCGCAAACTGCTTTGGCTGCTTTTTGTGGATTTTTTTTTAAAATCTCTTCGTGCTGTCACTTTTTGTTGCCAGTGGCATGCCCATGGCTAGCAATTCCTTTCAGGTTTCTTTTGTTGTTGATTCTGATTAAATAATAATAGTTACTTCAGTTATGTGTGAAAGAAAAATAGTCTTCTGATATGTATGGGCCTTAGTATGTGAATTTTGCAACTTTTAGATACTCAGAACCTTATAAAATGTCTGACTTTAGAATATTTCGATATTTGGAGGTCATGGATAGAATCTGAAAAATTGGGTAAAAGTGTTTACTTTTATTTATGGCCCCTTTTCTGGCCTCTAATCTCATTATCTCTAGTGAGAAACCCCTTTGCTTGTTACTTGTTACTTTTACAGATGTGTAAACATTAAAAAATAAGAGAACAAGCTACAAAAAAATTGAAATCTTTTTTTGCTGTGAGATGAGACTCTGGAAACCCATTTGAGGCAGTTGTTTACTCTTTGCTGTTTACTTTCTATTTTAGTTTTTTACTTTTTCCACTTTTACTGTTTTGGGCATTGTTTGCCCCTCTTTATCATTTTTCCTTTGTACTTGCTCCTTTGTAGCTTTACGGAATGTATGGACAGTGATGAACATTGCTAGGAGCATTAGAGCTTAAAACGCTGCTGACCCCTTTTGAAAGGTTTAGCATTAGTTAAGTATTAAAAATAATTCCTACCACTTGTGTGATTTTTTTTTTTTTTTAATCTCGTGTAGTTATTTTCATAAGATGTGCAGTGCTGTTTCTTGTGGCATTTGACCAGTTCTAACTTTGGCAATAGTGTTCAACCGTTATATTTTCTTCTCCCTCTCCACCTCCCCCTCCCCACCCTAGTTTCCTTTGGATTTTTCACTTCCTTTCTTTGTTTACTGCACTCATGCTCATAGTTGCCTACATTCATGTGGAATAAATGATTCATGTTCATAATTCTCGGCTCCTAGGAGATAAAAATGTATGCAATAATGTTATTGATCACATTTTATTGGTTCTCTGTCATGTGCTTTGTGCTCAGGCACATTGCTCTCAGATTAAGTGTATATTTGCATACTTTCAGAGACTCTTAATTTATAGCTTGGATTAATCTATATCATAAGGAAAGTTGGTGACTGAATACTCTGTATTGTAGCCAGAATACTTGAATTAAAGAAGGGTCATATTTGGGAGGCCCCTGGTAATTCACAGAGACATTCTACATTCTACTAAACTTGGCATAGATGTGTACATATGGATTTATTCTAGGCCAAAATTTTGCATTACACCCATACTATTCTGCCTTTCTATTGTAAATTCACTTTTAGCCACCTCTACTTCCACCCTGCAAACATCTATACTGAATGTAACCTTTTGCTTACATCCAGAGTCAGAATGAAAGAAGCATAACCTTAAAGTTGCTGGGTTATTTCAATCCTTCTAGCAACAGCTTTTGTGGTTGACTAATGGATATAGTCACAGATTTTTTATTGGTAGGGCTGCAGTTGGGCACCTTGATAATGGATGGATTTGTTGCTACTCAGAATATTCCTTTAGGCAAAGGAAGCATACAACCTGTGCCGTGTGGAGTGTATTGTGCCATCAGTGTAATGACAGAGACTGCCTAAAAATTATTTCTGCCCCTTTTTGCTGTTTTTTAGTAAGCCTCCATTTGTCGACCTTAATTTTTCTCCTTTTTGGTGGTTTATTACAATTTGAAGAAGCCTCATTTCAAGATAACTTCATGCTGATTTATTTGTGTTCCCCCAGCAATCTGGGAAGCATCATTATGCCTTGAGTGAGTGAGTGTGTGTGTGTGTATGTGTGTGTGTCTGTTTGTTAAATCAACAGCAATATGTTAGAGAAATGGAAGGGGAAATAGTACTAAAGAGAAAGCATGAAAACCTAGGTTCCCATCTGGGCTCAGCCACTGACTAGTTGTGTAACTTTTAGAAAGTCACTAAATTGCCTTATCTTTGAAATGATGAGGTTGGACTAGTTAATATTTAATATCTAATCTGTTACTGATTTAAAATTTTTTTGTGCTGCTGTGCATAGTTAAATAATCAACTGATCTTTCAATAGTCTTGTATTTGGGAGATTAAGGAGGGATTTGATATGGCATTCTCTTAGTGTGCCATTTTAATAGTATAAGAAGATACAGGCTGGGCATGGTGGCTCATGCCTGTAATCCCAGGTGGGGGCGAGAGGATTACCTGAGCCCACGGGTTCAAGACCAGCCTTGACAACATGGCAAGACCTCGTCTCTACAGTAAATTTTTTAAAAATTAGCCAAGCATGATGTCATGGGCCTGTAATTCCAGCTACTAGGAAGGCTGAAACCAGAGGATCGCCTGAGTCCAGCAGGTTGAGGCTGTGGTGGCCGTGAGTGTTCCACTGCACTCCAGCCTTGGTGACAGAGTGAGACTCTGACTCAAAAATAAAAAAGGAGATATGTGTTCTTAGAACTGTTTTATATGCAAATATACTGAAAAGAGTGTTTTTCTTTTTCAGGACAGAGGCTTTGTACAGATTCATACCCCTATAATCACATCCAATGACTGTGAAGGGGCTGGAGAACTTTTTCAAATTGAAGTAAGTTGTGCTTCCCATTTTGAAGGATATATTTCTGTTTGATTATTTTTCATCTGAGAGCTTGCTTTAAAGTAAATAAGAGTTGTGTGGACAAAAAACCATGAGTAGCAACTGAATTTGTCAGTGATAATTCTTGATAAACATATATAGAAAATTCAAACCACTCTGATTTTCTGTTCTACCAGCCATGTTACATACACTGTGACAGAAAGGAGTGAATTTTTAATTTAATACTCCATTTGTTTTTCTTAAGTCACTGTGAATTGGTGAACTAGAGAAACTGAAGAGGTTAATAAGTGTTTTAAGCTATCTTTTGTGCAGAGTCAACCCCCAGTTAATATTTTTGGAAATAAGTAATTTTAAGAGATAAATAAGAATAGAAAAGTATATAAGTGAATATCATTTCCTTTTTCAAAGTTTTTAAAAAGTACATTTTTTTCATGAATGCTCTGATTTAATTTGTCTAGCAGTCAATTTGTGACCAGGCATTGTTGGCCTGCCCTTATTGCAGATTAAAAAAAAAAATTTTTTTTCCAGTTTTTCTTACTTGTAGATAGGTGAAAGCCTTTTATTTACCAGTTTGACACCGTTTAAAATCATTGTCCAGTTGCATAATAATGGATAGAGAGAAGGGTACCTTGAAGAGTGGTGCTTTTTTGTATTTCTTATATTTATTTACTGATTTCTTTATTCCTAGGAAGTCAAGATTCTTGTTTATATGTTTGCTTTATTCTAATGGCAAGTGGTATATAGAACTGGTTTCTCTGGTTCAGTACCTTCTGACTCTTGATAATGATGCTTCATACTATCAGTTTTCACTGAGAGAAGTTGTTCTGATATGTTGAAGTCATCATCCAGAATAATAATCAAATGCTATCTTTCTTCATACCTAACTTTAGGAAATCTTGATGATTATTAACCTTCTGCAAAAAGCAGAGTAAAAATGTCTTATTGTACATTTAAAGTGGGAGTGTTGGCCGGGCAGGGTGGCCCAAGCCTGTAATCCCAACACTTTGGGAGGCTGAGGTGAGAGGATTGCCTGAGCCCATGGGTTCGAGAACAGCCTGGGAAACTTGGCGAGACCTCATCTCTACAATAAATAAAAAAAATTAGCCAGGCGTAGTAGCGCATGCCTGTAGTTCTGGCTACTTGGAAGGCTGAGGCAGAAGGATTGCCTGAGCCCAGTAGGTCGCCACTGTTGTGGCTGTGAGCGTGCCACTGCACTCTAGCCTGGGTCACAGAGTGAAACTCCAACTAAAAAAAAAAAAAAAAGTAGGAGTGTCTATATATGAGTTCAAAGAAGGCAGCAAATGACAATAATATGTAAAGTCTTTAAAAAATTCTCTTACAGGTATTTATTTTCTCCTGCCACCTTAATAATCTTCTGACTATTGAAGTGAAGAATTACCCACTTAAATACATTTCATAATCCCTTAATCTAAACCACTGAATATTAAATGGCTGAGAAGGAAAGGTATAATTGAAAGGAGTTTATACAAATTTAAAGGGATTTATTAAAGAGACCCAAAGTAAACAAGTACAAAAGTCTTTAACACACTTAAATAATGGTAAATTTGGAGATAATTGCATTGCTACTGGGGAAATCCTATGATCAGTTGAGTGATTGAGTGATTTATACCCTGCTACACACGTATTTTTTTGGCCTCTAAACAACCCAAGGCAAGTTATCAGATAGGTATGAATAAATTGAAAGAGGAAGAAAATATATTTCTGAAGCTAAACAAGTGAGATGTGTTCTATGTTCATATTATTTCAGAACCAGAGAGAATTTTATATGAGTGTGGACCCCCAAAAAACTGGAATTATCTTTTGGAGGGCAGACCCCTTGTAGGATAGGCTTTCCCCAGTAGGTAAGTGTTCTAGGAACCCACTGACATCAGCATAACCAGCTAGCATTGTGAGAGGCTGCATCCAGCTTCAGTGAATTTTTGTGGTGACAAACAGGTGACTGATTCTTCCACCATGACAGTGCACCTGCCCACACTGTGCTGTGTGTTCAGCAGTTTTTGACCAAAAATGGCATGACCTCAGTGCTCTACTCTCCTGTCTATCATCTGATCTCTCCCCACGTGACTTTTTTTGTTTCCCCGGGTGAAAAAAGCCCTCAAAGGGAAACATTATGCCCATGTGGAAGAGGTGAAACAAAAAATGTCAGAAGCACTAAAAGGCATCAAAACTGACAAGTTCAAAAACTGTTTTGAGCAGTGGAAAAAACATCTCGATAGGTATATTGCATCAAATGGAGAGTACTTAAGATGACTAAAGTTTAAACATGTAAGGATACACAAATTTTGATAAATAAATTCTGAGTTTTTGAAGGTCTCCCCTCATATAGTAGAAAGAGATACTCTGATTCTCTGAGAATCAGTGAATACATATTGATTCTCAGCTCCTACAGTCAGGGTCTAATCTAGATCAGGTTTCAGCTGATCTGTGCTATCTGGCTTTTGTGCTATGTATGACCTGCTGTCTTTGTTGCTTTCAGAAATTCAACTACAAAGACTTTTCTTCTGCCTCTGCTAACTCTCTGTCCTTTAGTAGCAGTGCTCCTTATTCTCACCTCACATTTCTGTACTTCCAAGCTTCTTTGTGTTAATTTCCTCCTGGCCGCCTATGCAGGCATAGGGATTAGAATCTTGGCACTCCTTTTAGGAGGAGGTGGGCTTTCGTATTTAAATTCCTGCTTTTCTTAGTGGTGCTTTTTTTTTTTCTCTGACAGCAATGAAGTGTAGTACTATATTTAAAGATGGGGTGCCAAGTACACACTCAGATTTAAGCAACTTTATGAGGTCACTTTGAAAAGGCAAAGTAATAACATGCACTTCTAATATTGTGATGAAAAGTGCATGATCATATCATGTTCTTTTGTCTCCATTTCCTGCTTTAAGACTTTGGATATTTGTTTAGGTTTGGGGACTACTGAATACATTGTAAGAAGTTGTGGGGCAACCCCTTCGGGTTCCCTCCCACTGTGGGAGCTTCTCTGTCCTCTCAATAAATCCTGCTTTCTCACTTAAAAAAAAAAAAAGAAGAAGTTGCATTCAAGGCATTCATTTATTATTTAGCAGGCATTTGGTGCCATCTGTCTTCAAGATGTTGTGCTAAATGTTATGAGGGATGTAAAGATGTAGTTGAGGTTCTGGCCTATAAAACTGGTGAGTGACAGAAGTTGATAAAGGAAGGAGCATGCTTTTCATTCACTCTTGATGATATTTATCCTGTAATAGTCTTTGTTTGCCTACTTTTTTCTGTTTTCTTGAAACCCTAGCTGAGTTCCCAAAATTATGTTTCATCTTTAGGAGTTTCGAGCAATTAGTGTGTCTCTGAGAAGATAAAAAAGATTAAGGTAAGAGTTACATATTGTAGTTGTTAAAAGACAAACTACAGCAAATTTAGTTTAAATAGACTTTTATTTGCCATTCTAGAATTGGACAACACCTCATTCTATAAAATAGAGGAGCTTGGTTTTATTTTATTTTATTTGTTTATTTTGAGTTGGAATCTCACTCCGTCACCCAGGCTGGAGTGCAGTGGCACACTCACAGCCATCCAAGCGTCAGCCTGCTGGGCTCCGGTGATCCTTCTGCCTCAGCCTTCAAAGTAACTGGAACTACAGGTGTGCACTACCATGCCTGGCAAATTTTTGATTTATTGTAGAGATGAGGTCTCATGAAGTTGCCCGGGCTGGTCTCAAACGTATGGGTTCAGCAGTCCACTCACTTTGGCCTCCCAAAGTCCTGGATTTATAGGCTGAGCTACCGAGCCTGACTGAGCTTAGTTTTATAGATAGAAAAGGACTGAGGAAAGCAGAAACAGAAAACAAAAAGTGGATTGGTCTTTTCAAAGTTACTTTTCTTGTAAAGATTAAGGCAGAGGGGACTTCCTTATCAGGCTGGCTAAAATGGTGTGTTTGGGGACTTGGCTATTATTTCTCTCTTTTCTGATTTCTTGCAAGGTCAATTAAAGACCTTGGTTTCCAAGGGGTGGCATGGCACTTCAGCATTAATAAGTTCATTTTGATCTAGTCTGTTGGACCTAATGTAGGAGTTCAGTCCAAACCAGAGGCCTCTTTTAGACTTTATTTAAGATGCCAAAAACTTGAAGTTGATGAAGACTAAGGAGGAACTATTGTATGTATATATATGAGGTTACAGTTACCAATTATAAATGATACGGAATGTAGAGGAAAATTAGATCAATGAGGATTGGCTTGGTCAGAAAAAAACTTCAAAATGAGTATGTGACTTGACTGTAACTTGGGTAGGGTAAAGGGGACAATGTGAGAGAAATCAGAAAATTAAAATGAGTGAGGGGTTCTTACTAGATTCTGAGTGGATAGGGGTTCTTATTAAACTCTGGTTGGATAGATATTGGTAAATTATAGAAAATAAAATTGGATAACTTTAGAAATGAGGTGATGGAGCAGGGTTTTTAAAAAACACTTTTAATGAGACATATTTCTCATAATCATAAAATATGAAAATATCCTACTAAATTCAGTCAATGAAGGGCTGCATAAACCACAGGGGTTCCATGCAATTATAGTGCCATATTTTTACTAGACCTTTTCTATGTTTAGATACACAAACTTACCTTTGTGTTACAATTGTCTACAGTATTCAGTACAGTAACATACTGTACAGGTTTGTAGCCTAGGAGCAATAGGCTATCCCATATAACCTAGGTATGTAGTAGGCTATACCATTTAGGTGTGTAAGTATACTCTGTGATGTTCGCACAGTTATGAAATCGCCTAGTAGTATATTTCTCAGAGTGTACCCCAATCATTAAGCAACTCATGACTGTATACAGTTCCATGGTTTTTAGTATTAGAGTTGTGTAACCAATACCACAATTTAACTTGAGGACATTTTCATCATCCCAAAAATAAACCCTGTACTCATTAGCAGCCCCTTGCCAGTCTCACTCCCAACTCTAGGTAACTATGAATCTACTTTCTATAGATTTGCCTCTTCTGA